GGGGCCGCGTAAGGGCCTGGGCGGGGCCGCGACAAAGCCGTCGGCGGGGCCGCGTGAAAGCCGGGGCGGGGCCGCGTAGAAGCCGGGGCGGGGCCGCGCGAGAGCAGGCGGCGGGGCCGCGAAGGAGCCGGGGCGGGGCCGCGTGAGAGCAGGCGGCGGGGCCGCGTAAAGGCCGGGGCGGGGCCGCGACAGAGCCTGCTGCGGGGCCGCGTGAGAGCCGGCGACGGGGCCGCGTAAGGGCCGGCGGCGGGGCCCCATCAGAGAGGGCAGCGGGGCCGCGTCAGTGAAAGCGGCGGGGCCGCAGGGAAAATGACGACCCGAGGGGTCGCTAAAAAAAAAATCGCGCCTCGGGGGGCGCTTCGGTGGGCCCAAAAAAAAACGGTCCGTAGAAGGACCCGCTCTATACCATGTGAGAATAAGCGAATAGGAATGAATGAACTAGCAGTGAGATGAGTACAAGTAGGAAACCCTAGAATTGTGTACCCCCTATAGGCTAACCCACTGTAGCCTACACAAGCAGAACATATATAATGTTTGACAAGAACCCCCCCCCCCCCATGTACAACACTCTCTATTACATCGTCACACGCCTCCCTGACTCCCTTCGCGTAGTCAGGGACCACTTCCTCTCAGTCTGTCCCACCACTCTCACTGTCGACCTCCTCGAGAAGGCCCTCCTGGCGGCGGAGAAGAGCATCGTCGCTGTTGGAGCCTCTCGTGGGGACCCTCGCACCCCCATCTTTGAGGGGTGTTCTCCTTCCCCGCTGCTGCCCTCTGTTGCCTCTGCTACTGCTGCCGACCTGCTTGGTCTTGAGTCGGTCGGCGCGGCGTCTACCCCTAGCGGGAGACGTCGCCCTGGCAAGGGCAAGGGGGGCAAGGGCGCGGGTGGAGCTGGCGGGGTCGGTGGAAGTGGCGGTGGAGGCGTCGGAGGGAGTGGGGGTGGCGGTGGGAGTGGTGGCGGGAGCGGTGGTGGTGGTGGCGGCACCGGAGGCGGAGGCGGTGGCGGCGGCAGCGGTGGGAGTGGAGGCGGCGGTGGTGGCGGAGGTGGAGGCGGCGGTGGCGGAGGGGGTGGAGCTGGTCGGGGTGGTGCCCCGCAGCGTAGCGGCTTTGGTGGTGGTCAGCGCCAGCAGCAGCAGCACCAGCAGCGTTCGCGGGACATTCCCCCGCCCCAGCAGCTCCGTGAGTGGTACACGCAGCGTCAGCGGGGTGGGGGTTTTGGTCCGTGCACCTACGTCCTTCCTTCCGGCGACCACGCGGGTGAGCAATGTAGGGGTGCCCACCCCACCCAGCGCTGCTTTGGCCGCCTGACAAACGCTTGGCGTCAGCAGTTCCCCGAGGCTAGTGAGATTCCCCGCTGGGGAGAGCTGTCTAGGGCTGGCGTAGCTATCTTTGATCTTGACTTTGATGCTATCCTTGCTGCCATGTATGCTGTAACTATTGGTGAGGAGGGTGACTGTTATCGGTGTTTCCCGCCCGACGCGGGCATTAGTACTGCTGCGCTAGGTGCTTGTGAGGCTGCTGCTCTAGGTGCCAGTGCGTCTGCAATCTCAGGTACTGGTGAGGCTGCGCTCTAAGGTACTGCATCGGCCTCGGCCTCCCTCACCTTCACTCTTGACTCAGGGGCTTCTCGCTCCTTCTTTCGAGACCGCACCACACTCACGCCGCTTGGTCGGCCGGTTGCAGTCTCCCTGGCTGACCCCTCTGGGGGTCCTGTCCTCTCTCACTTCTCCACTGTCCTCCCGTGTCCGGCTGCCCCCTCGGGCACCCTGTCTGGTCTGTACCTCCCCTCGTTCTCGACGAACTTGGTGAGTGGTGCTGACCTGCAGGATGCGGGGGCTCACCAGTTTACTCCTGCGAGTCAGCGGTTGACCCACTGCTCGGACGCCCGCACACGCCGACACCAGGCCACGTTTTCGCGTCGGCCGGGGTCGAGTCTCTACACCCTGACCATTGAGTCTTCTCCTGTCCCTGTGTCTGGCCAGGTAGCTGCGTCGGGTCAGGTGTTTGCTACTGCGTCCAGGTCTGGTCCTGAGTCTGCCCCCTGCTCGTGTCGCCTCCTTTCTCACAAGACTCTCCAGTGGCACCACCGTCTTGGCCACCCCTCCTTGCCTCGTCTTCGGGGCATGGCTTCCCGTGTCCTTGTCTCTGGTCTCCCCCGGTCTCTCCCTCCCCTTCCTTCGGGGCCAGGACCTTCCTGTGTCCCTTGTGTCGAGGGGCGGCTCCGGGCTGCCCCTCACTCCTCCCAGTTTCCCCAGACAGAGGCTCTTCTGCAGACGCTTCACATGGGCGTGTGGGGCCCGGCCCGCGTCCATAGACAGGGTCACGAGCGCTACTTCCTGCTGGTGGTTGACGACTACTCGCGTTACACCACAGTCTTCCCCTTGCGCAGCAAGGGTGATGTAACTGAGGTGTTGATCGACTGGATCCGCACAGCTCGTCTCCAGCTCAGGAGGAGCTTCGGCTCGGACTTTCCTGTTCTGCGTCTGCACTCTGACCGAGGTGGGGAGTTCTCCTCTGGCCTTCTACGGGCTTACTGTCGTGCACGAGGCATCCGCCAGACCTTTACGCTTCCGCACTCTCCACAGCAAAATGGGATTTCTGAGCGCCGCATTGGCATAGTCATGGACGTCGCTCGTACATCCATGATGCATGCGGCTGCCCCCCATTTTCTGTGGCCGTTTGCGGTTCGGTACGCGGCGCATGAGATCAACCTTCACCCCAGGGTCTCCCGGCCGGAGACCTCCCCAGCTCTGCTGTGGACGGGGAAGGTCGGCGATGCGTCTGCGTTCCGTGTCTGGGGATCTCGGGCATTTGTCCGCGACTTGTCTGCAGACAACCTGTCCCCTCGTGCTGCTCCCTGTGTCTTCCTAGGCTTCCCCCCTGACGCCCCAGGGTGGCAATTCTACCACCCCTCCTCTCGTTGTGTTCTGTCCTCCCAGGACGTCACGTTCGACGAGTCAGTTCCCTTCTACCGCCTCTTCCCCTACCGCACTCCTTCCCTCCCCCCGCCACCGCACTTCCTTGTGCCAGGTCCCCCCCCGGTAGACCCCCTTCCCCCTCAGGGTCCTGCCCCTTCAGGTGTGTCCCAGGTAGACGCAGTCGAGCCGGTCGAGGTTACTGATGACTCTGGTCCTGCTGCGGGTGCTGTGCCTGGGGGTGCTGACTCTGGGGGTGCTGCGCGCGTGGGTGCTGAGCCTGGGGGTGCTGAGCCTGGGGGTGCTGAGCCTTGGGGTGCTGCGCTAGGGGGTCCTGAGACTAGGGGTGCTGATTCTGGGGGTGCTGAGCCTGGGGGTGCTGCGACTGGGGGTTCTGCGCCTGGGGGTGCTACGTCAGGAGCTGCTGAGCCACGGGGTGCTGCGTCTGGAGCTGCTGAGCCTGGAGTTGCGGAGCCTGCGGCCACTGGCTCTCCCCTTGTGGCGTCTGGCGGTGCAGGACCTGGAGGTTCTCCGGGTGCTTCGTCTCGGCGGGAGCCCCTCTCTCCACAGGAGCTGCGCGAGTGGTTTTCTCGCCGCTGGAGGCGTCCGGCTGGAGTTGGCGCTTCTTCGATCGCTGAGGGTACTTGTGCCGCCGGTCCCGGAGTTGGTGGGCCTTCGGGTCCGCCTGGAGCTGGAGCTGCTGAGGGTGTAGGTGCTGAGCCTACTGCTGTCCTTCCTGGCGGTGGTCCTGCTGCGGGTGCTGCTGGTGCTGCTGGAGGTCTTGCAGCTGGAGGTGTTGTTGGCGCTGGTGGTGCCGCTGAGGGTGCTGGTGTTGTCCCTGCTGTGTCTGGAGTTGCCATGCAGCCTCGGCCGTACTTCGTTCCACTCCTGCAACAGGTTCTTGGTCTTTCTCCACCTGTAGAGGGGTCCACCGCCTGTCCAGTCACAGTCACAGTTAGATCCCGCCTCCCCACTTCCTGCTCCCTCTCCTTACACTGGTCCTACTGGAGGTCTTGCAGAGCATCGTGAGCCTACGTCTCGTCCCGCGTCGCCTGCTCGTACTGCTCGCGCTAGTGGTCGCGGTTCGCGTCAGCGTCCTCCTCCTGTCCCTGGCACGCACCGGATGTCTCTATGTCCGTCCACTGCTCCTCTGCGTGCCCCTTTGCCTTCTCCTCCTGAGTCCTCTCTTCCTGCTCTTGCCGACCCAGCGTCGGACTCTCTTTGTGCTGCCATTCCTACTGTCACGCGTCTCCTTGCTACTGTCGTCACTGACCCCTCTTTTGAGTCCACTGCTGCGTCTGGGCTTGTTGCTGAACACGTTGACTTTGCTGCTCGCTGTCGTCTCGACTACGCTGCCAGTCTTGTTGCTGAGTCTGCGTATGTCTGTCCTCCGTCCGTCGGGGGTGAGCGTGCTCTTGGCACGGACGTCCTTGAGGACAGGCAGGAGTGTGGAGAGAAAGAACACGAATGGATGAACTATGAATGAAGTGAGTACAAGTACCAACCCTAATTGGGTTATACCCCACTATAGCCTACACAAAAGCATAAGCTATAAGTTATGACACACCCCCATAGGCAAAGTGGGGGAGAACAAGGGGTCACAAGACCAGTCAAGCAAAGCAAAGCAAAGCTCAGGGTGGATCACAAAGTCACCACACAGTCCGAGCACAACAACAAGGCCACAAGGCCAGTTCACATGCAGGAGTACACATATATATATATATATATATATATATATAGAGCTAGACAAGCAAGAGCAGGTATATATATGTGACAGTACAAGTAAGGTCAAGAGGAGAGCAAGTGAGGCAAGACAGGTACAAGGCCCAGCTGGGTGCAGAAGCACTTATGGTCACAAGGCGCGAGTGCCTTGGTGAACACGTCAGCAGTGTTGGCCTCAGAGGCCACGTAAGCAAGCCGCAACTGTCCACGATGCTGTAGCTCACCAGCAAGGAAGTCACCACACAGTCCGAGCACAAGGTCAGGGCCACAATGGCCAGCTCACATGCAAGACTAAACACACATATATATATAAGGCTAAACAAGCAAGAGCAAGTATATATATATGCAAGAGTACAAGCAAGGTCAAGAGGTGAGCAAGTGAGGTAGGGCAGGTACAAGTCCCAGCTGAGTGCAGAAGTGCTGATGATCACAAGGCGGAAGTGCCTTGGTGAAAACATCAGTAGTGTTGGACTCAGAGGCCACGTACGCAAGTCGCAACTGACCACGCTGCTGCAGCTCACGAGCAAGGAAGTAACGGAGAGCAATGTGCTTCGTTCTGTGCTCCAAGCGCTGCTCTCGACACAAGGCCAGCATGGCCTTGTTGTCTACGTACAGCACTGGAGGAGAACGAGGCACCTCTCCAAGGTCAATCAGCAGGTAGGTGAGCCAGCGAAGCTCCTGTGCAGCCATGGCCCCTGCGTAGATACCAGCCTCACAACTGGAGCCGAGAACAGAAGACGAGCGAGTAGCCCGCCAAGAGACAGAGCCAGAACCAAGACTGAAGGTGTACCCCTGCGACGACCGCTGCGTAGCCTGGTTGTCAGCCCAAGAAGCGTCCGCGTGACCATTGAGGACCACTGGACTCCGCCCTCCAAGCACTAGCCCCATGCCCGACGTACTGCACAAGTAGCGCAACACCCTCTTCGCTGCAGCCATGTGCTCTGGTCGGTGCCTCACAGGAGCAACATAGCGTGCAACAATGCTAAGAGGGTATGCAAGGTCAGGTCGTGTGCAGGTCATCACGTACATGAGGCAGCCAACGAGCTCTGGGTATGGGCCACTCGACTCTACGGACTCATCCGAAGGCAGAGCTGAGAGCGAGTGGCGAGTAGGCAGAGGAGTGGCCTGAGGCGAGGAGTACGTGAAGCCGAAGCTCACCATGTGTGACTGAGTCAAGGTAATGGAGCGGCGTGCTCTATCCCGGGTGATCTGCAAGCCAAGGTAGCTGCGCAGTTCACCCAGGTCTGTGCACGTGTGTCTCTTCTGCAGCTCAGACTTCACGTAGGCGAGTCCAGCAGTGTCAGCAGTGGCAAAGACCAAGTCGTTGACGTACACGAGGATGTAGAACGGCGGCAGAGAGGTGTCGGTGCGCAAAAACAACGACGGGTCAGCAGTAGAGGGAGCAAACCCAAGAGCCGCAAGCGTAGTCCTCAGTGTGTCGTGCCACTCACGCGGTGCCTGGCGGAGACCGTAGACTGGCCGTCGGAGGCTCCACTGGGTGCCAGGAGGGAAAGTCCCAGTGAAGCCAGGTGGACGGCGCAGCCAGATCTCCTCGTGCAGGCTACCCTGCAAGAAGGCAGTGCTGAAGTCAAGAGAGTGAAGCTCGTAGTCGCGCTGAGCTGCTATGTGTAGTCAACTTCGGGGTGGGAGAGAAGGTCTGAAAGTAGTCAACTCCCTGCCGCTGACTGAAGCCACGAGCGACGTACCGCGCCTTGAAGGCAAGTGGAGAGCCTGGCGGTCGCTTCACCCTGAAGATCCACATGCCACTGACGATGTTCGCCCCAGGAGGGGGAACCGCGTCAACGTAGGTGCCTGTGGACTTCCAGGAAGCCATCTCTGCATCCATAGCTGCCTGCCACTGAGAGGAGTAGGGACCCTCTACGGCCTCCGCGTAAGAGCGCGGAGTCGGGATGTCTAGTGCATCCGGGTCTCCCTCAGGGGCAAGCAGTACAGACGCGAGATGAGGTGAAGCAGCAGCCATACACCGGAACTCCTCCTGCCTATCCTCAAGGACGTCCGTGCCAAGAGCACACTCACCCCCGACTGACGGAGGACAGACAGACGCAGACTCAGCAACAAGACTAGCAGCGTAGTCTAGACGACAGCGAGCAGCAAAGTCGACGAGCTCAGCGACAAGAGCAGACGCAGCAGTGGACTCAAAAGAGGGGTCGGTGACAACAGTAGCAAGAAGACGCATGACAGTAGGACTGGCAGCACGAAGAAAGTCCGACTCCGGGTCGGAAAGCGCAGGAAGAGAGGACTTAGGAGGAGAAGGCAAAGGGGCACGCAGAGGAGCAGTGGACGGACGCAGAGACATCTGGTGCGTGCCAGGGACAGGAGGAGGATGCTGACGCGAACCGCGACCACTAGCGCGAGCAGCACGAACAGGCGACGCGGGACAAGACGCAGGCTCACGACGCTCAGCGAGACCTCCAGTAGGACCAGTGTAAGGAGAGGGAGCTGGCAGTGGGGAGGCCGGCTCTTACAGTGACGGCGACTGGACAGACGGCAGACACTCTACAGAAGGAGGAAGACCAAGAACCTGCTGCAGGAGCGGAACGAAGTACGGCCGAGGCCGCGCGGGGACTCCAGGCACAGCAAGGACAGCACCAGAACTCTCAGCGGCAGCACCAGCGCCAACAGCACCTCCAGCGGCAGGACCTCCAGGCGCACCAGCTGCAGGACCACCGCCAGGACAGACAGCAGCAGTCTCAGCACCAACACCCTCAGCAGCTCCAGCTCCAGTAGGACCGGCGGCACCAGCACCCTCAGCGGCTGAAGAAGCTCCAGCTCCAGCTGTACGCCTCCAGCGGCGAGCAAACAACTCGCGCAGCTCCTGTGGAGAGAGGGGCTCCCGCCGAGACGGAGCAACCCCAGACTCAGCACCCCCAGGCTCAGCAGCTCTAGACACAGCACCCCCCGGCTCAGCACCTCCAGGCTCAGCACCCCCAGTAGTAGCACCCCCAGGCTCAGCACCCCTAGTAGCAGCACCCCCAGGCTCGTCACCCCCAGGCTCAGCACCTACGCGCACAAAACCCCCAGAGTCAGCACCCCCAGGCTCAGCACCCGCAGCAGGACCAGAGTCACCATCAACCTCAACCGGCTCGACGGCGTCTACCTGGGACACACCTGAAGGGGCAGGAACCTGAGGGGGAAGGGGGTCTACCGGGGGGGGACCTGGCACAAGGAAGTCTGGTGGCGGGGGGAGGGAAGGAGTGCGGTAGAGGAAGAGGCGGTAGAAGGGGATTGACTCGTCGAAAGTGACGTCCTGGGAGGACAGAACACGACGAGAGGAGGGGTGGTAGAACTGACACCCTGGAGCGTCAGGGGGGAAGCCAAGGAAGACACAGGGAGAAGCACGGGGGGACAGCTTGTCCGCAGACAAGTCGCGGACAAACGCCCGAGATCCCCAGACACGGAACGCAGACGCATCGCCGACCTTCCCAGTCCACAGGAGGGCCGGGGAGGTACGGACCTTCCCCGGCCAGGAAACCCCGGGGTGAAGGTTTATCTGATGCGCCGCGTACCGTACCGCAAACGGCCCCAGAAAATGGGGGGCAGCCGCATGCATCATGGACGTACGGGCGACGTCCATGACCATGCCAATGCGGCGCTCAGCAATCCCATTTTGCTGTGGAGAGTCCGGAAGCGTAAAGGTCTGGCGGATCCCCTGTGCACGACAGTAGGCTCGCAGAAGGCCAGAGGAAAACTCTCCGCCTCGGTCTGAGTGCAGACGCAGAACAGGAAAGTCCGAGCCGAAGCTCCTCCTGAGCTGGAGACGAGCTGCGCGGATCCAGTCGATCAACACCTCAGTGACATCACCCTTGCTGCGCAAGGGGAAGACTGTGGTGAAACGCGAGTAGTCGTCAACCACCAGCAGAAAGTAGCGCTCGTGACCCTGTCCACGGAAGCGGGCCGGGCCCCACACGTCCATGTGAAGCGTCCGCAAAGGAGCCTCTGTCGGAGGAAACTGTGAGGAGTGGGGGGCAGCCCGGAGGCGCCCCTCGACACAAGGGACACAGGAAGGTCCTGGCCCCGAAGGAAGGGAAGGGAGAGACCAGGGAAGACCACAGACAAGGACACGGGAAGCCATGTCCCTGAGACGGGGCTAGGAGGGGTGGCCAAGACGGTGGTGCCACAGGAGAGTCTCGTGAGACAGGAGGCGACACGAGCAGGGGGCAGACTCAGGACCAGACCTGGACGCAGCAGCAAACACCTGACCCGATGCAGCTACCTGGCCAGACACAGGGACAGGAGGAGACTCAGTGGTCAGGGTGTAGAGGCTCGACCCCGGCCGACGGGAGAACGTGGCCAGGTGCCGACCTGTGCGCGCCTCCGTGCAGTGGATCACTTGCTGACTCGCAGGAGTAAACTGGTGAACCCCCGCATCCTATAGGGCAGCATCACTCACCAAGTTCGTCGAGAACGAGGGGAGGTACACACCAGACAGGGCGCCCGAGGGGGCAGCTGGACACGGTAGGACAGTGGAGAAGTGAGAGAGGACAGGACCCCCAGAGGGGTCAGCCAGGGAGACCTCCACCGGCCGGCCAAGCGGCGTGAGTGTGGTGCGGTCTCGAAAGAAGGAGCGAGAAGCCCTAGAGTCAAGTGTAAAGGTGAGGGAGGCCGAAGCCGACGCGGTACCTGAGAGCGCAGCCTCACCAGTACTTGAGAGTGCAGCAGTGTCAGAGGCACCTAGCGCACCTGTACCAATGCCCGGGTCGGGCGGGAAACACCGGTAACAGTCACCCTCATCACTAATAGACACAGCATACATGGCAGCAAGTGTAGCATCAAAGTCTAGCTCAAAGATCGCTACACCAGCTCTAGAAAGGTCTCCCCAGCGGGGGATCTCAGAGGCGTCAGGGAACTGCTGACGCCAAGCGTCCGTCAGGCAGCCAAAGCAGCGTCGGGTGGAGTGGGCACCCCCACACTGCTCACCCGCGCGGTCGCTGCTGCAAAGAACGTAGGTGCACGGGCTAAAGCCTCCACCACGCTGACTCTGCGTGTACCACTCACGGAGCTGCTGAGGCGTGGGGACGTGCCGAGCACGCTGCTGCTGCCGCGGACCACCACCAGAGCCGCTCTGCTGCGGGGCACTACCCCGACCAGCTCCACCTCCTCCGCCACCACCGCCTCCACCTCCGCCACCACCACCGCCTCCGCTACCACCGCCTCCGCCGCCACCGCCACCACTCCCGCCACCACTCCCACCGCCACCCCCACTCCCTCCGCCGCCTCCACCGCCACCTCCACAGCCCCCGCCAGCTCCACCCGCGCCCTTGCCCCCCTTGCCCTTGCCAGGGCGGCGTCTCTCGCTAGGGGCAGAGGCCGCGCCGACCGACTCAAGACCAAGCAGGTTGGCAGCAGCAGCAGAGGCGACAGAGGGCAGCAGGGGGGAAGGAGAACACCCCTCAAAGATGGGGGTGCGCGGGTCACCGCGGGTCCTACAGCGACTATGCTCTTCTCCGCCGCTAGGAGGGCCTTCTCGAGGAGGTCGACAGTGAGGGTGGTGGGACAGACTGAGAGGAAGTGGTCCCTGACTACGCGAAGGGAGTCAGGGAGACGAGTGACTATGTAATAGAGAGCGATGTACATGGGGGGGGGGTTCTTGGCGCAGAACTCAGCAGGAAGGGCGGCGCGGTAGCGAGTGTCACTAGTGCGGAGGTGCGTAATGAGGTCAGCGACAGTGGGAAAGGCAGTGAGATCAGGAAAGAGGTACGGTAGCATGAGACGGCTCAGTGCAGCAGTGGCATGGGAAGAGTAGCGCGCAACTACAGCGTCGTACAAGGTCTGAGCACCCTTGTACTGACTAAAGTGCGCGCGCTCAGTGGTGGGCAAGTGGCGACGCACAGCAAGACGTGCAGCAGCATCGCGGGTGGCCCACTAAGAGCGAACAGTGGGGTCAGCATTAGCAGCAGGGGCGGGAGAGGCGCCAGAGGTGAGGTCAAAGAGAGAAAGACCGTCCGCCCTATCGCACTGTAAAAACAACTGCAGGTCGTCGACCCAGACCTCAAAGTCAATGGCTTGACCCTCAGCGTCAAAAGCGAGGACACTGGGGGTAGCCATGACGAAAGACTAGCAGTGCAAGCAGTGGGGAAGGGGACGCAGTAGCAGTGGGGCGGTGCCGTGCTCACCAGACAGGACAGGTCGGGCGGTCCAGTAGCAGGGCGGCTCGGCGGCTCCTAGGCGGCTCGGCTGCTGCTGGGCGGCTTGGCTGCTGTTGGGCGGCTCGGCGGCTCCTGGGCGGCTGGGCTGCTCCTGGGCAGCTCGGCTGCTGCTGTGTGGCTCGGCTGCTGCTGGGCGGCTCGGCTGTTGCTGGGCGGCTCGGCTGATGCTGGGCGGCTCGGCTGCTGCTGGGCGGCACGGCCGCTACTGGGCGGCACGGCTGATGCCTGGCGGCTCGGCTGCTGCTGGGCGGTGAGAAGAACTGAACGAGAATGAATGAACTATGAATGAAGTGAGTACAAATTGGAAACCCTAATTGGGTTGTACCCCCTATGGGATACCCCACTATAGCCTACACAACAGCATAAGCTATAATGTTCTGACACACCCCCATAGGCAAAGTGGGTGAGAACAAGGGGTCACAAGACCAGTCAAACAAAGCAAAGCACAGCTCACGGTGGATCACAAAGTCACCACACAGTCCGAGCACAACAACAAGGCCACAAGGCCAGTTCACATGCAGGAGTACACACATATATATATAGAGCTAGACAAGCAAGAGCAGGTATATATATGTGACAGTACAAGTAGATTCAAGAGGAGAGCAAGTGAGGCAAGACAGGTACAAGGCCCAGCTGGGTGCAGAAGCACTTATGGTCACAAGGCGCGAGTGCCTTGGTGAACACGTCAGCAGTGTTGGCCGCAGAGGCCACGTAAGCAAGCCGCAACTGTCCACGCTGCTGTAGCTCACGAGCAAGGAAGTAGCGAAGAGCAATGTGCTTCGTTCTGTGCTCCAGGCGCTGCTCTCGACACAAGGCCAGCATGGCCTTGTTGTCTACGTACAGCACTGGAGGAGAACGAGGCGGCTCTCCAAGGTCAGTCAGCAGGTAGGTGAGCCAGCGAAGCTCTTGTGCAGCCATGGCCCCTGTGTAGATCTCAGCCTCACAACTGGAGCTGAGGACCGAAGACGAGCAAGTAGCCCGCCACGAGACACAGCCAGAATCAAGGCTGAAGGTGTAACCCTGTGACGACCGCTGCGTAGCCTGGTCGTCAGCCCAAGAAGCGTCCGCGTGTCCCGTAAGGACCACTGGACTCCGCCCTCCAAGCACTAGCCCCATGCCCGACGTACTGCACAGGTAGCGCAACACCCTCTTTGCTGCAGCCATGTGCTCTGGTCGGTGCCTCCCAGGAGCAACATAGTGTGCAAGAATGCTAAGAGGGTATGCAAGGTCAGATCGTGTGCAGGTCATCAGGTACATGAGGCAGCCAACAAGCTCTGGGTACGGGCCACTCGACTCTACGAACTCATCCGAAGGCAGAGCTGAGAGCGAGTGGCGAGTAGACAGAGGAGTGGCCTGAGGCGAGGAGTACGTGAAGCCGAAGTGCTGAAGGACCTGCTGCACCATGTGTGACTGAGTCAAGGTAATGGTGCGGCGTGCTCTGTCCCGAGTGATCTGCAAGCCAAGATAGCTGTGCAGTTCACCCAGGTCTGTGCACGTGTGTCTCTTCAGCAGCTCGGACTTCACGTGGGTGAGTCCAGCAGTGTCCGCTGTGGGAAAGACCAAGTCGTCGACGTACACGAGGATGTAGAACGGCGGCAGAGAATTGTCGGTGCGCAGAAACAGCGACGGGTCAGCAGTAGAAGGAGCAAACCCAAGAGCCGCAAGTGTAGTCCTCAGTGTGTCGTGCCACTCACGCGGTGTCTGGCGGAGACCGTAGACTGGTCGTCGGAGGCTTCACTGGGTGCCAGGAGGGAAATTCCCAGTGAAGCCAGGTGGACGGCGCAGCCAGATCTCCTCGTGCAGGCTACCCTGCAAGAACGCAGTACTCAAGTCGAGAGAGTGAAGCTCGTAGTTGCGCTGAGCGGCTATGTGCAGCAGCACCCGAAGAGTGGTCATCTTTGGGGTGGGAGAGAAGGTCTAAAAGTAGTCAACTCCCTGCCGCTGACTGAAGCCACGAGCCACGTACCGCGCCTTGAAGACAGGTGGAGAGCCCGGGCGGCCGCTTCACCCTGAAGATCCACATGCCACTGACGATGTTCGCCCCAGGAGGGGGAACCGCGTCAACGTAGGTGCCTGTGGACTTCCAGGAAGCCATCTCTGCATCCATAGCTGCCTACCACTGAGAGAAGTAGGGACCCCCTACGGCCTCCGCGTAAGAGCGCGGAGTCGGGATGTCTAGTGCATCCGGGTCTCCCTCACGAGCAAGCAGTACAGAAGCGAGATGAGGTGAAGTAGCAGCCAGACACTGGAACTCCTCCTGCCTGTCCTCAAGGACGTCCGTGCCAAGAGCACACTCACCCCCGACGGACGGAGGACAGACACAGACTCAGCAACAAGACTGGCAGCGTAGTCTAGACGACAACGGGCAGCAAAGTCGACGAGCTCAGCGACAAGAGCAGACGCAGTAGTGGACTCAAAAGAGGGGTCAGTGACGACAGTAGCAAGGAGACGCGTGACAGTAGGACTGGCAGCACGAAGGGAGTCCGACTCCGGGTCGGCATGCACAAGAAGAGAGGACTCAGGAGGAGAAGGTAGAGGGGCACGCAGAGGAGCAGTGGATGGACGCAGAGACATCCGGTGCATGCCAGGGACAGGAGGAGGACGCTGACGCGAACCGCGACCACTAGCGCGAGCAGTACGAACAGGCGACGCGGGACGAGACGCAGGCTCACGACGCTCAGCAAGACCTCAAGTAGGACCAGTGTAAGGAGAGGGAGCTGGCAGTGGGAAGGTAGGCTCCAACAGTGACTGCGACTGGACAGGCTGTGGACACTCTACAGGAGGAGAAAGACCAAGAATGTGCTAAAGGAGCGGAACGAAGTATGGCCGAGGCCGCGCGGGGACTCCAGACTCAGCAGGGACAGCACCAGCACCCTCAGCGGCAGCACCAGCGCCACCAACACCTCCAGCGGCAGGACCTTCAGCAGGACCAGCAGCAGGACCACCGCCAGGACAGACAGCAGTAGTCTCAGCACCAACACCCTCAGCAGCTCCAGCTCCAGGAGTACCCGCAGGCCCAGAAGCTCCGGGACCGGCGGCACCAGCACCCTCGGCGGTCGAAGAAGCTCCAGCTCCAGCAGTACGCCTCCAGCGGCGAGCTTCTGTGGAGAGAGGGGCTCCCGCCGAGACGGAGCACCCCCAGACTCAGCACCCCCAGGCTCAACAGCTCCAGACACAGCACCCCCCGGCTCAGCACCTCCAGGCTCAGCACCCCAAGTAGTAGCACCCCCAGGCTGAGCACCCCTAGTAGCAGCACCCCCAGGCTCGTCACCCCCAGGCTCAGCACCTACGCGCACAAAACCCCCAGAGTCAGCACCCCCAGGCTCAGCACCCGCAGCAGGACAAGAGTCACCATCAACCTCAACCGGCTCGACGGCGTCTACCTGGGACACACTTGAAGGGGCAGGAACCTGAGGGGGGAGGGGGTCTACCGGGGGGGGACCTGGCACAAGGAAGTCCGGTGGCGGGGGAGGGAAGGAGTGCGGTAGGGGAAGAGGCGGTAGAAGGGGACTGACTCGTCGAAAGTGACGTCCTGGGAGGACAGAACACGACGAGAGGAGGGGTGGTAGAACTGCCACCCTGGAGCGTCAGGGGGGAAGCCAAGGAAGACACAGGGAGCAGCACGAGGGGACAGCTTGTCCGCAGACAAGTCGCGGACAAACGCCCGAGATCCCCAGACACGGAACGCAGACGCATCACCGACCTTCCCCGTCCACAGCAAGACTGGGGACATCGCGGGCCGAGAGACCCTGGGGTGAAGGTTGAGCTGATGCGCCGCGTACCGAACCGCAAACGGCCACAGAAAATGGGGGGCAGCCGCATGCATCATGGACGTACGAGCGACGTCCATGACCATGCCAATGCGGCGCTCATCAATCCCATTTTGCTATGGAGAGTCCGGAAGCGTAAAGGTCTGGCGGATGCCTCGTGCACAACAGTAGGCGCGCAGAAGGCCAGAGGAGAACTCCCCACCTCGATTAGAGTGCAGACGCAGAACAGGAAACTGGGTAACGCGAGTAGTCGTCAACCACGAGCAGGAAGTAGCGCTCATGACCCTGTCCATGGACGCGGGCCGGGCCCCACACGCCCATGTGAAGCGTCTGCAGAGGAGCCTCTGTCGGGGGAAACTGGGAGGAGTGAGGGGCAGCCCGGAGGTGCCCCTCGACACACGGGACGCAGGAAGGTCCTGGTCCCGAAGGAAGGGGAGGGAGAGACCGGGGGAGACCAGAGACAAGGACACGGGAAGCCATGCCCCGAAGACGAGGCAAGGAGGGGTGACCAAGGCGGTGGTGCCACGGGAGAGTCTCGTGAGACAGGAGGCGACACGAACAGGGGGCAGACTCCGGACCAGACCGGGACGCAGCAGCAAACAGCTGACTCGACGCAGCTACCTGACCAGACGCAGGGACAGGAGGAGACTCAGTGGTCAGGGTGTAGAGGCTCGACCCCGGCCTACGCGAGAACGTGGCCAGGTGCCGGCCTGTGCGCGTGTCCGTGCATTGGGTCACCCGCTGGCTCGCAGGAGTGAACTGGTGAACCCCATGCATCTTGCAGGTCTGCACCACTCACCAAGTTCGTCGAGAACGAGGGGAGGTACAGGCCAGACAGGGTGCCCGAGGGGGCAGCCGGACACGGGAGGACAGTGGAAAAGTGAGAGAGGACAGGACCCCCAGAGGGGTCAGCCAGGGAGACTGCAACCGGCCGACGAACCGGCGTGAGTGTGGTGCGGTCTCGAAAGAAGGAGCAAGAAGCTCCTGAGTCAAGAGTGAAAGTGAGGGGGGCCGAAGCCGACGTAGTACGTGAGAGCGCAGCCTCACCAGTACCTGAGGGCGCAGACGCACTGGCACCTAGAGCAGAAGCCTCACAAGCACCTAGCGCAGCAGTAGCAATGCCCGGGTC